AGAGAGAGAGAGAGAGAGAGAGAGAGAGAGAGAGAGAGGGTTAAAATTGAATGATTTGATTTTTATAATAGATATTTTGTATGAATTATAAACTTATAGAAAATGTAATTTTGTTGGCAATAGATTTTATATAGAGATATAGTGTATGGAATCGTTTAGTGATAATAAATCAAAAGTTATTTATTATAAAATTTTTTGTTTGCTTTGAGCAACTCTTTCATACATAATATAAATAGAGTACACATAGAGTACACCATTCGCTATACTATTCATCAGTCAATAATAAACAGTTAGTCTAGAGATTAATGTCTTTATGTCTTCAGACAATAATCCAAAAAATAACTTTTTTTGCCCAATAATATAGTGGAGACAAAAATAAGTCGAGAGAGAGAGAGAGAGAGAGAGAGAGAGAGAGAGAGAGAGAGAGAGAGGCGAAAACACATATTAAAGCATTTAAGAATTTGAGTACAAATTCAGTATTTTATTGATTAAAACATTTGCGGAAATTTAAATGATATGCCTTTTAAAGAATATAATACAGAATTAAGAGATAGAGTCAAACCTCTGGTAATGTTTTAATCGATTATTGAGTTTTAAATTTAATATATATTATAGTCTTGTTTTTTGTTGTTTAGTCCCATTTTCATACTCAACAATCATTCATACTATTGACTGAATTATTGTCTTTTACTGCAAACAAAAATTCAATAATTATATTCTGTATATGTATTCAAAAATTGTGACTTTGCTCTCTCTCTCTCTCTCTCTCTCCTCATTTACTGTCTTTTAAAAAAATTATTTCTGTTTCAATTAAATTATAAAAGTATTTGAAATGTTTATTCAGCATAAAAACAAAAGGCAATAAATATATAAATTATGAAAGGATTTACAGACATATCATATTAAATACAATTTTCAAATATTTTGCAAATATAAATTATAAATAATATTAATTTGATTGTTTTGGTCAATTAATGTAAACTGTATCTCCACGTGGTCTTTGATTAAAAAGGGCCAAAACCGCAACCGATGCCAACACCACAACCGACACCACAATCAATATAACTATAAGAATAATAGTGGCCGTAGAAGAGGACGAGCCCTGCAAGGGATCCGCTGTCATATCCATCACCGGCTGTGGAGTCACTGTTTCAGTCACTAATTGGGTAGTCGTAGGGGTCGTGAGATTTGGGTTAGTTGTGGTCAACCGGTCCCCGAAATTCAATGGACAGCCAAATAACGCCGTTAGCGGTGCCCTCGGCTTACACTAAACAATAGCAACAGTTTAGGTAATAATGAATTGTTTGTATAAATTCACGTAAAATATATTATAATTACAATTTTATGGTCGGTTTTAATGGTCAAATCAACGATACAGTATTTGCCGGAACCGATGAATATAATGGCTGTGGTATAAGTGATGACCGCTTTGACATCAATGAGACCCTTAAGATTGCCGGCTGTCATCTGAGATGTCTTCGGCATTAACTCGTTATCCATAAACATAAGGCTATCGTTCACTACTGTAGTAAAGCCGGAGCCAACTATCTTGGGTCGGGTCAGTGTCACGAACTCATAGACCGTGTAGTTATTGTTATCGTTATGCAATACATAGATCTTTGAGGCGCCGTATTTGGGGCTGAATACTGCGGTCACCGTAAGATTGGCAAAGCCTGGCCAGCCGTCGGTCGTGCCCTCCTGTGCTTTAGCGCCCAATTCGTACGCAAACCACTTCTGGCCCTAATGTTTGTGTCAATGGAGTTAATTGTGTTGTCATTTGTTTGAGACGACTCGAGACACTCACCACTACAAAGATGGTCATTGAGTGATTGGTTGTGCTCTCGGGAACGGTGAACACGATAGAGACGCCGCCCGTCACCGCCGACCACTTGTCCGCCACCGGCTGTGCCGTCGCTATAATGCCGTTGTTTATAGTCAATGGATTTGTCCGCCAAAAGTAGTTGTCTTTAAATAGATAAGTGTAGCCGTCGTCTGAATATACGGCACAACCGGTGAATGGCTTTTGGCATAAATCGTCGTCCTTTTCAATGGCAATGGGATTGTAATTGGATTTAATTTATATGTTTGGTTCACTTACTGGATGCCCGTCTCCTCTGTTCAAAGATAGTGATAGCAAAATATATATCAACAAAAAATACATGGTTTATGTCTTTGTCTCTCAATTGTCTGTTAACAAGAATTCAAATAATTTTTAAAATCTTATTATAAGTTTTGCAATTATTTTTAAACACGCGATTATAACAATAATGAAGGTATGAATACAATTAAACACTTTACCTATACTTTACTAAAACGAGAAATTATTATAATTGCTATGATTTTATAAACTTATAGTCAAATGCTTTTACAAACAGATTTATTGACATTATTGTTGTCTTTTACCGTTTGAATAGTTTGTAATTTAAAAAATTCAAATATTCAAACATAATTTATGATGATTTACAAAGTGCTTGTTTTTATGATATTTGTCAATATCTTAATGTCTGTTACGACACAAACAACAAGTGGAGGAATAAGTGATTTACACAAACAAATGCCTCAAATGCCAGATAAATATGAATTTGAGGTCTGGAATGAATGGTTGATTCAAATGAAAGATTTTAACACAAAAGTGTGGAAATTAATGTCAAAATCAACACAAAGTGCACACAATGTGACAGAAATTCACGTTGAATTGAAATCATACGAAGAGAAAGTGACCAAATATTTAGAAAATGAAAACAAATTCAAGAAAATAACGAAAAGATCTTTTACTCAAAATACCATTCATTACTATCAGTCGAGTCTAAGACAAGTGACTACTTATGAGATATACGAAGTGGAGGACAAAAAGCCGCCATTCTTTAAACAATTACTTACATTGGATCCAAAAGAAGTGGTCAAATACTTTACACGAATGCGTGAACAATATTTCGGACCCATTTTTAAAGAAATAATATTTATTTAAATTATTTATTTTATTATATTTTTGTCTCGTAGATAAATAATTCATTAAAATAATTATTAAAATTTCAATTTAAATGTTCATTAAAATTTAATGTATTTTGCAATATAAAGTAAATATTAATTAATACTAAAATATTAACTCAAAGTTTAAGCACTTATAGCTAACATATAATTATTCAGAATTTACTTATAATTATTTCTTATATATATATAAATATTCTTATATATATTTATTTGTATATTATTTTAACCTCTATTTCAATAATTAGATAATATTTTATTTCATTATAACCGGAGAATCAAATTTTTCACAACATATTTATTACAATAATTTAATATATTGTGCGCTATTTTTTCCGCACAATTACTGTTGACTTTCTGTACGCAAATTAACAAGAATTTGGTTTTATATACGGCTTATAAGCAAATGATTTGTTAGAGCAATGCATAAGGAATATATCATTTGGTTTTTTTGGTGATGTGAAAGACAATCAACAAAAAACCCAAATAAAAATCAAATTTCTTCGGTCACTCACCCGCTAATGAAAGGCATAGTCGGGGCAGAGATGCCAATAGTAAGAGATAGCATAGTCTCGAGAGTCGTCCCAAACAATGGCCACAAGTAAAAAACCCAAATAAAAATCAAATTTCTTCGGTCACTCACCCGCTAATGAAAGGCATAGTCGGGGCAGAGATGCCAATAGTAAGAGATAGCATAGTCTCGAGAGTCGTCCCAAACAATGGCCACAAGAATCGTATCTTCTGTTGAGTTGTCCGACACTTATTCTCTCATTCACTGAATTCCTATCGAAGTTATAATTAAAACTTTTAGCCTTTCTTTTGTTCAATAAGTTTCTACAATACGTTAAATCCATTTCTATTGACGACAATTGAGTTAAAGTTTTTATTGTCGCCGACATTATTAGCCGATTAATGGTTGCAATGATTACCACTAATAATAACAATAAAAATAATATTAACAATAAAATCATTGAATGCCCGAACACTGTATGCACTGTAAAACCGGTGTCTGTATAATGAGGGCCATTGAGCGCACAGTTATCCCAAATGTTTGCCCAAAACTTATATCGAGGTGAATTCATTTCAAGTCTCATTTGCACCAATGTAAACCTTATGATTGGATTTGTAAACATTATGTTTGTATGAAAACAATAACAATAGAAAACAAAAAATAATTAATTAATTGCTGTAAAAGTAAAGTGATTTCACAGTCAATTCAATCGCCAATCTCTTCGTCATTAAGACTTTGATGAAAAAAATTAATTATTTCTTTACTAAAAATCAAAACATTTTTCAACGAAAATTTTTATTTATATTTTCAAAAGAAGCAAAAATTTTTTGACGAACAAAATCTTGAAATTATTTATTTCTCTCAAAGAATTTTGTATCAAGAATTTCAACGAACAAAACACTGGGAGAAAAACTGAGTTAACCGTCGGTTTTCATAGCAAAGCAATGGTATGAGAGAATTGGATACTGAATACAAGTTGTGTAACCGTTTGAATGGCTTTTCCACTGTAAACCTCTTCACTCTTTTCATCTTCTGGTGAATAGACCGTCAAAATAGTGTGTGTTTTCTCTCGCTTTCCCAAAAATTCATATATAGATAGTGAGCGCAAACTCCAGACAAACACATAGTTTCGATCACTTCTTGAAACACTGGCAAAGAGTGTGAGAGAAAGAGAGGGTATGTGTGGAAAAGGCATCACAAAAATGAGAATATTCTTAACACAAGATTTTGTGATTCAGTGGTAGTTATTATGTCTTTACTATTGAAATGAATGACAGACAGTGTAAGCATCGGGTGATTTACACAAACATTGTTTTTGTTCAATGCATCTCTTGTGAGCCACTCGTTCCCATCAAATCAAAGTATTTGATATATTCATGGATATCAACACTACATAAACAATACACACAATGAATACATTGTATGGTTGTATTAGGTGTTTATTATATCAATGCAAATGTCAGGATATTTATGTTAATGGAGTGTCTTATGACATGATATGATAAATAAATGACATTCAAAACAGATAATAGTAATCATTATTTTATTAAACATAAAACAATCTTTAAAGAAAATCTATAACTTTTTACTTAAATCTCTCTCTCTCTCTCTCTCTCTCTCTCTCTCTCTGTAATAATTTTCATCACTCATCGAAAGCCTAAAGGGTTTAATAGTTTTGAAACTTTTTCGTTCATTTATGAGTTTTCCGGAGGAAATGAGTCCAAAAGAAGACAACAATTGTTTCGTCTCTTCTATTGTTTCTAAATATAGAGTATTTGTAAAGACGTTATAAATTATATCTGTTTTTGTTTTCACTCTATAATTACTAAACATTTATCAAAAAATTATTCATAAAATTTTGCGAGTTTTGCAAATAAATGCAATATTTTATTTTTTATACAAAATGTTGATTATAAACATGTATAACAATTACATGTTAGTAATTTATATGTAATTAAATATTATATTAGGGATACTATTATTATAACTGTTGATGAAAAATAAAAATCCAATTAAAAGCACAAAAGCATATAATTATTCCCTTTAATCCAATCGTTATATAAAATTGATTTTAAATTTATTTCTCAAAACGTTTCGCACCAGAAATAGCGTCTAAATGTCTAGACATGTGTTTTCTCATATTGTGATTGAAATGATTATTACATTAATTTAAAATAATTTAATAAATAATAGTCCGAGAAATAAAGAAACACACATTTCTTTAATAGATAAATAACAACAAACTTATTGTCACAACAGATAACCCACTGAAAAGAGACCATTCATTCATTCAAAAAACCAAACAACAAATTCATATCAAATATAGTGAACAACAAAATGTACTTAAAGTCGGAAAAATAAGAATAAAATTCCACAAAAAACTCAAACGAAAAATAAAACCAATGGAGAAAACTATCGGCAGATATAAAGGGCATTGAATAAGGATTAGAGTACAGTAAAAGACCATTTGGGTGAAGTGATTTGGTTTTAGCATTTGGTTCACACAATTGATCAGTTCACACAGTTGATACCTATTTAACGTTATGTCTATTGAGTGTGGATTTTGGTTTTGGTTCACACAAATGGTCAGTTCACACAAATGGTACTTCACACAGATGGTCCTTTACTGTATATGTTTAGTGAAAATATTAGGCAATTTAGTCGACAGTGGAAAATATATATATTTATTTTTGTATTATTTTTTGTGCTATACTTTTCTTATGGCTATTTTGGCGATACATTTGTGATGGCATTTGGGCTCTAAAGAGGACAATAAGAGGCGAGTAATAAGAAGTGATGAGCCGATGATAAACGTTTGATAAGTTAAGAGCACTGGTATATATTGCAAATACACCATGATTTGTTTGTTCACATTCAAACATACACATACATTCACTATGCCCTACATCTCTCTCTCTCTCTCTCTCTCTCTCTC